CCCCCCCCACCCAACCAAAAAAACAGGTGCGCGTGGCGGACGTGGACGGCCCGCAAGACGCGGACTGCTCAGACGAGTTCTACCTCATGGCTTCCGCCGAAGCACCTGTGGTTGGGGGTCCTGACGCCCCGTACCTGATGGTTACGTCCCCGTCAGCCGGCGACAAGGCGCAGGCAGGCGGAGAATATACCGTTGAGGTGAGTTTTTTTTTTTTGAAGATTTCTATGGCGCCGCCGCATGAATCGTGGCGGAAGAGGCGGCGAGGCTATGTTGCGGATGTGCATGGGCGACATTCGTAGTCTGTGTGTGTGTCTGCGTCTCGGTAGTGCGCTGGAAAACCCCACACTCAGCAATTTCGTGTGCTGCGTGCCGTGAAGGCTGCTGGCGAGCGACGGCACCCCCAATAATCAATCAATTCATTCTTTCATTTTTGCTTGGTTGTCAGTTCGACTACGACAATGGAGTCGGTTCCCGAGTGGACCGATTCAAGATCGACCTGTACTCTATCGGAGGGACCGGCGACTGCGGCACCTGGGTGATGAATCTCTGCGACAAGGAAGCCATCGGCTGCAAGGACTCGAGTGAGTCCGATTTACACGTTTGTCATGATGCTGTTGTGCTTTGAGTGACGGGATTTAGGCCGCGGCCGTTCAAACCTCGCCGGGCACTTGGTGCGTGGTATCCATTGCCTCCATGCATGCGTCACTCGGTCCCCATGGTCCGTCCACAATACGCGCTTGACCCGCCCTCCCCCGCGCGCCTATTTCGTGCCAACCTCCAACGATGACGACGCCAACTTACCACCCAACCAATCAGTGGGAGACTACGACGTGGAGATCCCCGAAACCGTTGTCGACGGCATGTACTCGATCCGCGTGGGCCGCTTTGAGGACGACGCCCTATACGGCTGCTCGGGCGAGTTCGAGATCGTCGGCTCCTCCTCCGGGGAAGGTTCTGGGGAAGGTTCCGGAGGGGCCGGGGGCGCCGGTAGCGGCAGCACGAGCAGCGAGTCCGGCTACGGCGGCGGCGTGGGTGTGGGCAGCAGCGGCAGCAGCAGCGCCAACGGAGGCGGTTCCGGTAGCGGAGGAGGCTCGATGGGCAGCAGCAGTGCCTACGGCGAGGGAGACGGCGAGGGCGGCGGTGTCATCGGTGGCGATGGGGGCACTGGCGAGGGGGAGGGGGAGGGTGATGACCTCATCGGCGATGGTGTCAGCAGCGGCTCGGGGGCCGGCGCGGGCAGCGGTGGCAGCAGCAGCAGTGCCTACGGCGAGGGAGACGGCGAGGGCGGCGGTGTCATCGGTGGCGATGGGGGCACTGGCGAGGGGGAGGGGGAGGGTGATGACCTCATCGGCGATGGTGTCAGCAGCGGCTCGGGGGCCGGCGCGGGCAGCGGTGGCAGCAGCAGCAGTGCCTACGGCGAGGGAGACGGCGAGGGCGGCGGTGTCATCGATGGCGGCGATGGGGGCACTGGCGAGGGGGAAGGGGAGGATGATGACCTCACGGGCGGTGGTGTCAGCAGCGGCGCGGGCGAGGGCGAGGGAAGCGGTGGCAGCAGCAGCAGCAGTGCCGCCGGCGAGGGAGACGGCGAGGGCGGCGGTGTCATCGGTGATGATGATGCCGTGGGTGAGGGCGAGGGCGAAGGCGGTGGTGCCGTCGACAGATGTGAGAGTGACGACAGCGACGACGACGATGACGACAGTGACGATGACGACAGCGACGATGACGACAGCGAAGATGACGACAGCGATGACGGCAGCAGCGACGACGACTTCGACCTCTCCTTGTCGTATTCTTACTCCTACGAGTTCAAGGAGCACGATGTACTATGGTAAAGGCTTAGCAGGCGCAATAAGGGGAAAAACATACCGGGCGGTCAAGCTTGGCAGGAGAAGGCGGAAGGAAAACAATTTGAGACAAACACCACGGTGGGCCCGCGCGCCTCAAAATGCGTAGACATGCTGTGTGCACGCGCCTTTCAGTGTCTGCGAGGAGGGTAGAAACGAGATTGGCGATCTCGTGTCTCTCGCCATTGGCAGGATGATAGCTGTGAGGTTTAAAAAATTGCGCGTGGTGGTCCGTGCGGGAGTTGCGTAGGGGGCAGGGGGTTCATTGGTTCCAGGCTCGTTTGAAAAAGGGTTGTGATGACGTGTTTTCCCCACACTGGAGGAGCGGGCAGATTCTTGTCCCCAGTGGGTTGAGAATCAGTTCGCGGAGGGGCTTCCGTTTGTGCGGCAAGGATAGGGTAGAGAGGCCGCCATGGTACTGTTGGGTGTTTTCCCTCCATTTGGAAAGTGAATCAATCGTCTCTCGTGCTTGTGAGCATCGGGAGTAGCTCTAACATGCGGCGTTTTGCGGCATTGCAGTGGTGACTTGAAGCAAGGTTTGGTACGTAGGTAGAGTCAAGTTGAGTTCATCGGTGGCTGTTATGAGACGCCCCCCCCCCCTCCCTTTGAAGGGGACAAGCGCGACTGTATCCGTAGTGCTCCCCGTCTGTGAAGTCGATCGGGATTGGTGCCTGAGGCCGTGTGGGCCGACGGGAGGAAAAAGGCGTGTAAGTAGATCGGCTGCCCACGCGATCACGTTTACGTCTTAATTTGTTAAGGTTTTTTGGTTTTTGTGTATCGTGTGTTGAGCTTTTCCCCCGCCTCCGCTCGGAGCTCTTCGTGCCAAAGGGCGATTCGCGTCATGTGTGCCCTGCCTTTACGTTTCACGCGTTACAGCATTCTGAAAGAAGACAATCTGTTTACGACAATACCCTTACCTCCCTACCAATAAAATTTCCCTCAGTTTTTACTTCTTGTTTGGGGGCGGAGAGGTTGTTGTTGGGCAGGCGTTTGCTTGGAGGGAGAAGGGGCTATTTCTCCTCAACAGTTTGTTTTGTTGGCGTTGATGCGACTGTACCGACCATTTTTGGCGGCGATGTGCGCACTTTGCTCGGACGGAAAATTCATACCAGCATGCATCAAAACTTGTTCTTCAGTTGTTGGCGTAAGAATATATTTCGCGCCTTGTCGCTCGTTCTACTCAGACAACTTGCATTTTGGTTTTCTTGCCTTTCGCATGCGTCGATTGTGTTTTTTCGTTTTGGTGGGCATAATGACGGGTGGCCGGGAACCTCGCCAGACTAGATGAGGGGGCGCAGGTTAACCTGTTTGTGTTTGAGCTTGCCGAGTTTTGAGTCCTCCGTTGGCGAGGCGATTTTTTTTTTTTCGTGGATGCTCGGTTGTAAGGGGAGCTCTTGAGTTTTCTTCTGAGGGTCGGGCAGCGGGGAAAGGGCGGCAGTGTGCTCGGGGTTCTCTGTGCCTTGGCTCTGACTATCTATCTATGTGTCGTCCGTGTCCCTGGAACCGTTGATCTGCACAACAGATAGTGACGGGGAAAAAAAGTTAAAGACAAGTAACTGCTGCTGCTGTGTGGAGTCCGTTATGGCTGTGCCTCTTGTCTACTTCAGCGCGAATATGAACGTTTTTGTTTTGTGTCGAGTGTGTTGTGCGCGCTACTCCTTTACGCGCGCCGGACAGCATGGTTAACAAGGACATTGAGATGGGTCGTAGATCGAGAGGGAGGAAGAGCATGTGGCTGTTGTGTTTTTTTTTGTTGTGAGTCCTGGTGGTGCCATGATTGGCATCGACCGCGCTAACTGGCTGACTAATGAAAAGACGTCAGTCTGTTTTTGTGTGCATGTGTGTGTGAGTTTTCAACTGGCGTCGGCGGCCGCGCTTCCCTTTTTTTTTTTTTTTTT